TGAACTCAGTAACTGCAGAAAGTTTGTTTAAAATGAGTGATTTTGATGAATTCTGAGCAGATTATTTCCTATTTAAAGAACTTTTTATACATTTCTCTGTCTGTATTCTGTATTTTTTAATGGTTTTTAACAATCATACAGACTTAACAGGCTTCTTTTTGGATAAATTCAGTGTTTTCTTCCCCTTGACACTTAGCCATTGTTCTAATAGAAATGTACTGAGTTAAAAGTATACTAAGTATATTTGTTAAATCAAGAAGGCTTCGCGACCCCTCATGAAGCTTTGTCGACCCCTAGTGGGGGTCACAGCCCCCAGGTTGGGAACAACTGATTAAACCACCTGATTAAAATACAATTTCCTAAGTTGATCAATAGAAAATGTATTTCAGTTTTACCTTGGCTTTAAGGAATGATAATTTTTCACTATTTTCTGTCATTTTATATATTAAATTAATCAATGAATCAACAGCACATTAATGGATACTGAAAATAATCTTCAGTTGCAGAGTTTGGACTGGAGTCCTGCGTGCTGAGTGAAGCATCAGGGGGGCTTTTTTCCCCAGAAAAGAAAGCCTTTCTGAGGAATTGCAACCTAAAGCGTCGGAGCAGCCCTTACCAGTGAAAGCAGAGAGGGAGGCAGAGAGGGAGGCGGGGGAGAAGGCACTGTGGGCCCTGGTCAGTCTGGGCTGGCTGTGGCTGCAGGATACACATCAAGACAGGCAGAAGAAGGAGAAGAACATGAGAGGAGAGTTAAAGAAGTGTAGAAACGAAAGCATTAGAAGCTGCAGAGGTTCAGAAAATTAACTTTTCAGTGTGAGTGTGTGTGTGTGTCTGCAGTTTTGGGTCCTGCAGCTTTTTTTTTTATAAACTTTTTCTGTTTGATGCTCTTAGCTCTGGCAGTCAAGACTTCTGAAGCTATGTTTTTTTAATCACAGCCTTCCTCCAGCGTGCTGCTGTGAATAATGACTAAGCAGTGAGTTGGATAGAGGGTGACAGGCCACAAAGGTTTGAAAAAGAAATCTCTTTGCTTTCTAATGACATGCAGCAGTGAAAAGTTCCTGAATGTCTGAGAGAAGGAACAGCCAGCTGAAGGAGGGAAGTCAAACCATGAGAGAACAATGACTGCCCGGCTTATTAAGCAGCAGAATGGGAGTAAACTTGGAGAGGAATCAACATGTCTGGACTCTGAATGAGTCTCCATCAGGACACAAAACAGTGACTCAGAATGTGTTCCTTCTTTTTACCATATTGATCCAATTTTTGTCCTGAAACTTCCTGAAAACAGATTATTTCATTTTATTTGCAACTTGTTAGTAAAAGTCTAAACCCAACAGAGGAAGCTGAATGAATCTCCTGGTAACACTGCTGGTTTTCAAAGTGCCATCCATGAACATTGCTTTGATTTTATGAATGACTGTTGGACTGTTTAGGGCCCCGTAGAGCTGCTCACCTGTCCGCGTCCTGCTCAGGACCTGCGGTGCTCGCCATGTCCACCAGACTCCCGGCAGAAGATACTGAGTAGGTCACTGAGGGCCTCTTGTCCAGCAGGTGATTGGAGCCGCTGCAGCTTTTAGTCCGGAACAGTTTACTCAGGCGGATCTTTAACGAGCCCTTTTTGGACTTCCCCGGAACTTTGAGGGTCTTTTCCGCACCCGCGGCCCATCCTGTGGGAGTCCGCGGCGCACTGGCGCACCGCTCCGGCCGCCTCCTGGGTGTCGACGCCTGGCTTGGGTTTGGGCTTGTGGCCCAGGGGGAGTTCTGGACCGGTGTAGGTGACGGTGACATGGTTGCAACCTGGGCGACAACCTCTGAGTCCCCGGAGCTTACCTGCGAGAGCCGGCTGGCTAAGTTCCCGTGGAGGCTGCACACCTGCGCGCCAAGGTGCGCTGCTGCCGCCGCCTCGGTCGCCGCCGGGGCCAACCCCTCCACCTGCCTCCTCAGCTCCGCTTGGAAGCTGCTGATGGAGAAAGTCCCGGACATCTTCTGAACTATTTCCCTTTTCCTGTTGAGCAAAAACTCGCGGCGTCCGTTCTCATCATCCGTCTCACCCTCCGGGCACTCGTCCATGCCCAGGCCGGCAACATCCCCGCTCCCCAGCCCCTCCAGGACCAACAATGCATCGCTGGTCTCTGTCGGGTCATCCCCGGGCTCTACTCCCCCTCCTGCCGGTCCGTGTGCACCCTGACACGAACACTGCGGGAGCTCTCCTGCTTTGAACAGCATCTTGGGTACCGCACCGACCCCCAGCTCCCCGAACCGTCGGGCCAGCTCAAACACGGCTCCCTCTCTGTCCCTGGTGGCGCATCCCCATTTAGAGTCAATCACGGTGAGAGGGTTGGATCTCTCCGACAACAAGGGCCACTCGGGCGGGGTAGTGATGAGTCGATGCCGGCGGCACAGCTCCGCAGCTCCCTGCATGTCCGCGGTTACCGGCGGATGCGCTCCCCATGTCCGGTCCAGCAGGTTCTGCTGCTGCTGCTGAACGTCTCCCGGACTCAGGGTGTTGTTATTGACAGTCGGGCCGGAGCAGCCAGATCCCGGGCTCTGGTCCAAACCCAGAGCATCCCTCGGCTGATTCCGTCGGTCTAATTCTAAAATCCCCTCTCCGTTCCGCATTATATTGGAGAAGACCAGCAGCTGAGGCCGTAGGCCGGGGCTGGGAGCGAAGTCAAAGCCCTGGGCCTCCATGGGGCTCTGCGGCGGAGGAGGCGCGGACAGCGGGGCTCGGCTCTCCGTCCCCCCGGTGTCAGGTGCAGCCGTGCCCTCGCCGCTCGGCTGCGCTTTGTTCAGGCGGTTGCTAGGATGCTCGAGGCCCGCCGTCGGATCTCGGCTGATATCCAACCCCGCTTTGACGCCGCTGTGAGCCAGGACCTCCTTCCCCAGCCCTGCCACCACTCCTCCCGGCGGCAGATTCCCGTTTTCTGCGTCCAAGCGGTCATCCTCGGCCGCGGAAACCAGGCGCATCAACACGAAATCGGGCGACATATCTTGCGCGTTGTTCATAATTATTCCTCAGGATCGCGAAACGAGAATTATTAGGCGATCTGCTCTTCACATAGCTAACCGCGGAGATCTCGTTCCTATAATAAAGAAAGGGCCAAGCCGCCGCTGCCTCCCATAAATAGGCTATGAGCGAAAATGCCAAAAAATATATCAGCCGATTTTTTCATCCTCCTCCCTCACGACAGCTCAGCATCCATCTGTCAAATATCGGGGGACCGAGTGCAGTTCGCTCCGGGCAGCAGGCGGACCCCTGGGTCAGACATGCGGTCTGATTTGTGTAGAATAAAAGCCAGTAGAGTCTCCGGTCAGTGACCACAGTCTGCCTCTGTGTTCCCAGCCCAGGCCCCACCCGCTCCTCCTCCGCTCAGCCCATAACACCACTTTATGAGCACCGATGATGACAACTATAAATTAGTCTGTGGCATTTTAATATCAGAGGGGCTACCTGGATCAACATCCCAAAACAGCTGATTTCTGTTTTCATTCCTTATAAGGAGACAAAGTAATAAAAACACTGTGTTCTTATAATATTCCTGTAATGGGTTTATTCATTCATGTGTTTCTGCTCCACTGCAGGTTCACATTTTATTGGTTCACTTTGAGTTTAATCTGCAATTTAATAATATTTCTGAATACTAATAATATTTTTTTAAGCAAATATTTATATTATTGACAGCAAATGTCAGTGGAAACTTCATATTTTTCTAAACTAAATTCAAAGATACAGAATCTGTTTTCATAGAAACTGTGTTACAGTTGATCCAAAGTGGTCAGATATTAAAGGTGCAATCCACTGAGGAGGGACAATGACCCTGACGACTTCATAGTGATGATATCATGGGTTATTTTGGAGTGTGAACCCATCCTGACATCGCCCATTGGTACCGTTTTGAAGCCTTGACTTTGGCATTATGATCGTAGCCGTGGCGGTTTGTTGGAGCCAGCGGAGGCGGCGTACTGTGGTCACACAGGATCTCATATTCCAGATAAACAGTTAAAATATGTTTGTGAACAGATTTGAGGAGAGAAATAGTCAACAACAGAATCTGGATCCATATCTGATCAGCACTGT